TATAATTTTGAATCGTACTTTTTTATAAAATAATATCAATAATTAACATAAAGTCACATTTCTTTAGGTCACTAATAATCACAAATTCATTTTGATGATGATAATTCTTCTGATTCACTTGAAATTTTTTTATTCTTTTTCTTTTTTTCAATTAAAGCTTTTTTATTAGCTTGTAACTCTTTTTTATTTTTTTAATTGCTTTATCAATTTTTTCTTCTAATAATTCGTTTTTTGATATAACCGTTCACTAAAAAAATTACAATAAAATAAAATTTAATAATCAAAAAATATTTTAAGTATTATTTTAATTATAAGTATACATTTTATAATGATTATTTTTATATTTACAAAATATTGAATGACTTAAGTACTTTAAACACTTGACAGATTTAATTTTGAGTTTAAGAAGTTAGTATTATAAATATACGGTGATTAATTGGATTGTGATAAAATCAGAGGGTCTTATCAATGACCGAATGAATTTTTTACTGGGTAAAGGGCTTCTGACGGATCCAATAGTTGACTGGTCTTAAAATAATATTAAAACTTATAATTTAACTTTATTTATTCAAAACAGTTGGAATCTGATCTTTAATTAACGTAATAAAACTAAAATATTTTATATTATGGCGATAAATATCACTAAATTAATGATGAAATTCACTGACTCTCCAATTGTACGCTAGTTATTTTTGACCGCTTTATGGCTAGTTGCGTTGTGAACAAACAGAATATTTTTTTAAAGCTATAATCACTGCGCAATTAATTGCGTAATTTTTTATTATGATGATTAAATGCCATATTTTTTTATTTTAATACTTTAAGAAAAAAAAACCCTTGTAAAATATTAATTAATTAACTTTTTTATACATCGGTCAACTAATTGGTGACCGGTCAACAACTGGTGCATTTACCCTAGTTAAAACTAAATATTGATTTTTTATTTTTCAACCTTATAAAATTATATTTTTATTATTAAATAAAAAATCATCCTTTTTCAAAATTTCTTTCTCCGTAACACGAGGATCCTGACGAATAGCCAAAATCCGTCAATGATTCTGCGAAAGCGGTTAAATTTATCTAAAAATATCAAGCGCAGGACTTATTGTGACACAGAGCGAAATCGACTGGTAGGATCTATCCTAGAACATTCATCATGGCCGCTATCCAAAAGAGATGCAGTATCTTCCAAGTGTTCTATTAACATATAAAACGCTCCATTCTATCCTCGGAGTTTTTATTTCGGGGTTTACGTTGACGAGCTGTGAGTTAAGTACCGGCGCTTAGAGAAGACACCCAGTTGAGCAGAGGCGGATCACTGTTTGAGAAAGTTTTCGTTTGGTGAAAACTTAGCATACTAGGAATGATGAATCCGCGGGGAGCATAAGTATAACTATAAGTAAAAGTTGCTGTAGGAGCATCCTAAGATTCAGTAATGTTAAGGATGAGAGTTTATGAAAATCCATTTGCGAGCGAATGCAAATCCAGGTGAAAGAAGCATCTTAGAAGAGACGAGATGAAAGATGAGCGATGACGCGTTCTTTTCCGGTATTAAAGTGCTGGAAAGCTGTATACAACTGGTGTATAAATGAGAATATTTTGCAGAGGACTACCCGAGGGTAAGAGTGCTAGAGATTTATCAGCAGTTGTCAAGGTATCGTGTTGGATTTATAGGCGGTTATAGCTAGGTGCCGAGTGGCAAAGTCAACTTTCCTCAATAAAAAGGGTCTGCAAGAGTGAGACGGCTAGATGCTGAATCCTAGATGCTGGAAGATGCCAGCAGCGACGAGAAGAGGATATTCCAATGTGATTTGCTGACATCCGCAGGAGTGATGAGGGAGAGAAGTGAGTGAAGAAAAGGCACATGTCAGCGGTGTTCGTCCTTGTCTTGCTCGAGTTACATCAGCAAAGGGCTTCCAAGACCTAGAGCGGAACCCAACCCTAAATTTTTACCTCCCCAGCATTCGACATTGTAGACGGAAGGGGTGAGGCGTGAAAGAAATAAAAGTTTCCGAGTTGAATCAATATCGGTAGTGGCACATCACATAGTGCTGCTCTTACTCACTTACTTACTCCTAATACCCTTACCCTTCCTCAATCTAGCCTCGCACGTGTCCTGAAAGGCTAGATTGCGAGCTGGCTAAGTGAAGCTTCAGTTTGGGGAATTCCGGGTCGGGCTCTCCAAACTTAAATCAATTATCGGATGCCCGGCTTGAGTACTTAGTTTTTAGATGATGTTGATTTGATGATGCAACGTATTTAGGGAGCTTGGTATTAGTTGTGTCCGTGTCAAATAACGGATGTTCATTTTGTTGAATTGATAGTTATTTATTGGTATTGTTGAGAAAGAATATTTTTATTGATCTTTATTAATGGTAATATTGTAAAGGATGTTGTTGTGGATGTGATAGTTGATTGTTAGTTATGATTATTTATGTAGCAACTTAGGGAATAAGGTTTTTCGCGATCGTGTTTTAGAACACACTCTCTGCTCGTTGCCTCAACCTCACTCCGACCCGAAAACCCGGCTACTAAGTTTGATAGTTAAATGGTCGATTTTTTTATTAGTTTTCTTGACAAAAACATCTCTAATAAGAGATTTAGCCGTGCCACAAAAATATTTTTTTAAAATAAAGTATCCTAGCATTCTACGGTCACTATAAAACTGTCGAGAATTACGAATTGAGAATAAAAGAACTTAAGCTTAGTGATTTTACGATATTTTTAATCACAATATACAGTTTGGGGACTTTTTGAATAAATTTTGGAAACACTATTGCTATTACAGAATCAATTATTTAAGGATGAATGTTACGGAACAAACTTATAGAACCAACAAACTGTTCAAAATTCCTTAAAAAATTTACTAATCAAAAAACATATAAAATTGTTAAAAGGTACAAATTCACCTCAAGGCCGTTCTGATGATACTAAATTAAACTATAGAAATCCCTTTATAAATAAAAATGTCACATAATTTAGCTTAATCTCTTAATTATTTAAACGATAAATTGAGTATTGCCGAAAAAAATAAAAAAACGTGAAAAGACAAAAATTCGGGTCATTATTTATCTAATGATACCAAATTGAACTATAGAAACTTATTTTACAATAAACTAGAAATTTTCGATAGCGCGCTTTTGCGCGCCTTCTAAATTTTCTTATGTAATTATTCGATAATGTTTCGATATTGTGATACGTTCACGTTCTACGGCTAGACCAATAACGAATCAGGGTCCATTTTTTGCGATTATCGACTAATGACTAACTTTAAAAGTCCTTGTATTTTATTGTAGAGGATCACAAAATTTGAGTTATTTTCTTAATTATATGGATTAATATTTGACATATGTAACGACATCAACATGTTCAAAACAAAATAAACAAGTAAACAAATTTTGTCTTGCTTGACATTTAAATCTATTTAAACTACAACTTTGAAAAGTTATCATGATAAATAAACTATCTTAGAAAAGCACATGAAGCTTTCAAAAGGTAAATTCAGGTCGACCTTTTCAGTTACATTGAATTCAACTAAAAAACAATTTCATCATATAAATATACTGGAGTCGGATTTTTTTTACTCTCTTAATTATATAGATTACGTTTTTTTTTTTTTTTTATACAAACTTAGTGAGGTTTTCTGTGCTCGTGTTTTAGAACACACTCTCTGCTCGTTGCATTAACCCCCTTTGAGTTTAAAATTCACCTATTAAGTTTCATAGTTAAAATCCGTTGTACTTCCTTTATAAAAACTTTCTTGTATTAATATTATTATCATACATAAAATTTTTTTGATATTTTCCATCAATAGTAAGAAACATAAGACTTGAAATAATATTTGAATGGTAAAGTTTTCCAAATAATTAAAATAAATCTTACCACGGTATACAAAATTCCTTTGAAAAATAAAACATCTAATTACTAAACATCCCTCGAAAAAGAGTTCTAATATGTTCTGACAAAACAATCATCATCACACAAACCTTGTGAAGCTTTCCTAGTAATCCGAGAGCATTTAGTCTCTAAAGTAAGCGATAATTCGAATGTTTCCAGGAAATAGCCGCGATCCTAATCAGCTTCCAAAGACACGCGGAGTGGCAAAGCCGGGAGGTGAAGGTCCGCCCACGAAGTGGTTCGATGCTGCTCTATTCAAGGAAGAAAGTGAGGTATCGGCGCGACGGCTACTGCTGGAAGAAGAGGAAGGACGGCAAGACCACTCGGGAAGATCACATGAAGCTCAAGGTAATTAGCAGACAAAAAAAAAGCACTAAAACGACTATTTACTTAATCGGGTGAAGCAGACACTGAACTGGTGCAGGGCTGAGACTATTTCAGTGTCTGTTTTTCCCATTGATTGTAAATCCAATGACATGATCCGTTTATTCTCGGCTAGGTCCAAGGGGTGGAATGTATTTACGGTTGCTATGTCCATTCAGCGATTTTGCCGACATTTCATCGTCGCTGCTACTGGTTGCTCCAAAACCCTGACGTTGTCCTGGTTCATTACTTGAACGTTCCTTATCCGGATGGTGACGCGAAGCTGGCTGCCCTGCCGCCGTGCCTGGCGCTCCCGCCGGATAAGAAAGAGTGGACTCGTGATGAGCTGGCTTCTCAGTTGAGGCCTATGTTCCTCGGAAGCGATGATGATCCTAATAATCCTCATCTTTCTCAGCATAACAATCATCCGGTGGATATGATTGTTACTCAATTGTTGGATAGGCAGCGCGCGTCGACGAATACTTCTACTGCAGCAGCACAATTGGCACCAAGAAGATTGACACCAGATAACCAGGTGAGGCTTCGATGTTCTAAGTGGTATTTTAAATTGGAATTACGGCTAGGTTACCCAGCATGACCTGGTCCGTGATGTTCTTCCAGGTAACTTCGACGACTGGAGGCCAGCAACCATCATCAACAGCATCGACAGCTCCGCGAATATACTCTCGACATTCCCACTCGGGCCAGAACCAGCAACCAGCGCCTCTGGTGCTGAGTTTGCAGCAAATCCAAGGTGGCGGCGGTCTCCTGATCCTTAACAGCCAGCCGTACCACCAGCAGCCTCAGCCCCAACCTCAGTCCCAACAGGTGGAGATGCAAACTGTTGGGGAGCAGACCCTGGTCCAACAGACCGGGAGCGTTGATAGAGAACAGCAGACTCACCAGCAAGACCTGGACACCAAGGACTCGATCGAGCTGAACACGCACCAGACAATCACCGCGCAAGGGAACTCCGGGCTGACGGACTTCGTCGAGACTCTGGACCTCAGTCAGGAGGACATCCAGCGGACTCTTTCCGCGAACATGATCCCTCCGTCACCGTCACCCTCGCCAGCCGACAATCACATCATCAATCCGATGGACTTCATTGATTCTTCTGATGACGTCCTCGTTAACCTCGACGCCTTTGACGTATTCGGCGATCTTCCAGAGCTTAATGACTTTGAGACTCATGAGCACAAACCAGAGATTGACAGGTCAGGTTCACAGTCCGACAGCGCTTGTCATCCTGGAGCTACCGTCCATATTGCCGAGTACAGTCCTGAATGGAGCTATACTGAAGGTGGAGTCAAGGTTAGTTTTCAGTTTGTAATTCTTATTCTTACTTTCTAATTTTTGGAGTCAAATTTGAAAGTTTTGAACTTCTGCGGCCATAAATAATTGGAAATTTTCTGAAATAGACTCTTAAAATGCCAAAATATCAGGATTTAATCGAAATTTAGCTTTGAAAAATCTATTAAAAATAATTTCGATATTAGACACAACTTTTTTTTTTAAGAAAAAAAAGCATACTTTTTTAAAAGATTATATTTTTAATTTTTTTCAGTCAATCTTTAAATTTTTTATATTCCTGAGCTGTTTAGAGCAAAAAACAATTTTTTCTTACATTAAAAATTCAAAATAAACTGGATCAAAAAGTTAGTACAAATAGTCTCCGCTAGGTGGCTACAGTTCTCGTAGTTAGAATTCTAAAATCTGAGTATTTAAATTCACTTAAAAATTTTCAAAGGTCCGGAATTTAAATCCGAGATAAAGTTACTTTTTTTTTATATCCACTGATGGAAAAGGAAGGATTCGTTAATATTTAATTACTTTTATTCACTGTAACAAATAATTTTTTAATACTAAAAAATTTAATAATGATTGATTGATAGCTAATAAATATTTTTAATCTATGAAAAATTCTTTGATAAGTGTATTAATGAATAAATTTAATAATTTAAAATAAGAAAAATAAATTAGATAAAAAAGTTAATTAAGAATGTAACCGCTAGGTGGCTGCATTTTCTCGTAGTTAGAATGCTAAAATCTAAGTATTTAAAATCCCTGAAAAATTTGCAAATGTCCAAGATTTAATCCTGAGACAAAGTTACTTTTCTTTTTATATTCATTAATGGAAAAAGAAAGATTTGTTAATATTTCATGACTTTTATCTACTGTAGTAAATAATTTTTAATACTAAAAAATTTAATAAAGATTGATTGATTGATTGATAGCTAATAAATATTTTTAATCTATGAAAAATTCTTTGATAGGTGTGTTAATCAATAAATTTAATAATTTAAAATAAGAAAAATAAATTAGATAAAAAAGTTAGTTAAGAATTTATCCACTAGGTGGCTAAATTTTCTCGTAGTTAGAATTCTAAAATCTGAGTATTTAAATTCATTAAAAAATTTACAAAGGTCTAGAGTTTTATATACATTGATGGAAAGGGAAAAATTTGTTAATATTTAATGACTTTTATCCAAGGTAGGAAATAATTTATTAATACTAAAGAAGATTTAATAAATATTTATTGAAAACTAATAAATATTTTTCAATTTTTGAAAAATTCTTTTATAGGTGCGTTAATGAATTAAACTCATAATTAAAAATAAAAAAGTTAGTTAAGAATGTATCCGCTAGGTGGCTTCATTTTCTCGCAGTTAGAGTTTGACAATTAAAGTATTTAAGTTCACTTGAAAATTTTTTGGACTGAAAGAAAAAAATTTTTAATATTAAATAAGTTTTATTAACTGTTCATAAATGGTTAAATGATTTAATAAATATTTATTTACTGTTAATCAATGTTACTGTTAAACTAATTTTTCAAAAAATATTTATTGATAGTTAAAAAATATTTATGGGTATCCAATAAATTAAAAAATTGTTTCCAAATGAATAGATTTATAAAAAATTAATAAACTCTCCTATAAGTGAGTTAAAAATGAAAAAATAATAAAAACTTTGAAACTTCCACACTGACCACAAATGTAAAATATATTCCAGGTGCTGGTAGCTGGACCATGGACCGGAGGTAGCGGTTCGCAGTCGTACTCAGTGCTATTCGACGCAGAGCCAGTAGAAGCGTGTCTGGTCCAGCCTGGCGTGTTACGTTGTCGGTGTCCTGCCCACGCACCGGGGATCGCTTCACTACAAGTAGCTTGTGATGGATTTGTCGTGTCAGACAGCGTTGCATTTGAATATCGACGGGCCCCTGCTACTGAGCCTAGTCCAGAAAAGGCACTACTAGATCGATTGGCCGACGTCGAATCATGCTTACAAGGACCAGGACCACCCTCACCCGCAGTACATCTTGAAGAGCGACTCGTTACTTACTGTCAGGTATATATATATATATATA